ATTGAGAGGGTCTATATCCCCAAGGGTCCCTCCCTAATCCTAACTCCTATAGGAAACCCCAAGCCGCGCCTAATTCCGAGCCGGCATGAAGCTGCAAAGTCCTGACGATTTCCCCCAGGCTCAAGCATGCCAAGACCGGGCCGAAAACAGGCGCATCAAGGCAAGCAGCATTATTACTATTATTATCATTATTAGTAGGATTCTTACTATTATTATGTTCGATTTGTATTTTTATTTTGATTATTATCGTTTTTATTATTCGTATTATTATTTGTATTTTTGTTATTCTTATTATAACTATGGTTCAGGGTTGAGGGCTAAGAGCATGGAGGGTCGATGCAGCTCACAGGGTTGAGGGCTTGAGGGCCAAACGGGTTCATAGTTTTCATCGGGGCGTACGAGGTAAAGGGTCTGTGGGTTTTTTTTAGACCTTCAAAGGGCTCATAGAGGAAAAATGTTGGGCGCCTATTGGCTGAAGGGCTCGGGGTCTGGCAGACTTTTGGGAGATTTCGGATGTAGGTGTTGTGTCCTGGCTGATTACCGGATGGGTCCAAGACTTTGGGGTTTGGGTTTCGGATTTAGGGTAGGTGTTCTCGGTGTTAGAATCTGAGATGTGGATTTTAGGATTTCCTTCGTGAGCGCTTCTAAGTGTGGACATGAGAAGCACTGATTGTTCGTGTTCGTGTCTAGGTTCTTACATGCGTCTCTTTCGGGTTCCGTCCAAAGACGAGGTGCTTATGACTCAGCAGCTTGCATGATCCCTTGCGAGAACAACGTCCCCCCGGAGCATTCGAGAAGCCTCCTGACCTGAACTTCTCAAGACCGTTATCGCTAAATCTTGGATACTGAACCGCTTGAAACCCAGACAACATTCCAAACTGTAGATCCCTCAACCTTTCGAGCACTGATCTTTCATGCACCTTCTCAATGCCGGATACTTCAAGCATCATGTGAGCCTCAAGGCCTCAAACCCCTAAAGAGTCAGCCGAAGGCAAGAGGCTTACAAGGTGCTAGCGATCTCAGCTCGGAGGCCTGAAATCGTTTCTTTGGTTTTCCTTCAAGGGGTTCCGTTCAGTCTTGCTTTGAGGGTCGAATTGGGGTCTTAGGGCATGTTGGCGATCAAGGTCTGGGGTTTGGTGGGGGTGTCGGGTTTCAGTTCTTAGATCCAGAGAATAAGATGCTTTGCCCCTCAAAAAAGAGACGAGAAGGACCCCGAATAGTCAGACGGAGCTAGGAAACTCTCTCAGCCGACTGGATTGCAGTTAGTTGTCTGCTTAGCCTGCTTCTTTAGAGGAGATCCTGAGCACGAGGTGAAGAAAGGTTCGATGGTTTAGCTTGTGAACACCTCAATCGTTACTCCTGACGGCTACTTACCGCTTAAACGGCGTTAACTTAAACTGCTTTCTGCCTGTTCTGAGCAGTTTGCTTGTTGTTGTGTTTGTCGTTGTTCTTCTTCTTTGCGGTCGCACGGGGACACAATTGCCGGCGTTGGTGGTTTAGTGGATGTTCATTTATTGTTATGTACAACTGTTGTGGAGAGTATGTCCGCGCGCTGCGAAAGCTATCAGCGTCGTCGTCAGCATCGGCATTGTCCGGAAACCCTGAACCTGAAACGAAGCCTACGAATGGGTCTGCTCTATGCTGAGAGAGCTCCCCTGTGTTGCTACATCTGTAAAACTCTGTGCTGTTCTAATCCCACCCTCTGATCTGCAGACTGAAACGAGCCGCGCCACCACAGACAACCATGAGGCTGAAAGCGCCCGCCTCACTTTGCACTGCTGCATCAGTTTCATGTGATGAGGGTGTGCGGGCATCAGATGCGGGCCGGATGCTGGCTGGGAACTTCGTGGGGTTTGGGTTTTTTGGTGGTGTTTTGCTGCTCAGAGCTGCCAAGTAAGTTTGGTTGGTAGGCTATTGTGTTGGGGACTGTGTGTACATCTCTCAATCTCGGACTTAGGCGCAGCGAGCCTCCAGACAGATGGAGAGTTAAGGTTATGATATCCCGCAGCCTGTACAACAGCCAAGCTGAGGCAGCGATGACGAGTCGGACCAGTACTTCCGTTCAGCTAATGTCAGCCGGGAGGAGGCAGGGAAGAAGCTCGCGCTCAATTAAGTCATTACGCAGTAGTTGGCAAAATGGGCCACAATCTCGGCAATGACCACCACAACGGCGACGAGAATCTCGGCAGCAACATCAAGGACCACGACCACACCTGTAAACCCAGAGCCACAATGGCAACGACACGGCGACGACATTCTCACCAACAGCGTCAACAAGCCCGACGGCAACAACAGCAACAACAGCAGCACATCAAGCAGCTAGAACAACCAAAACCAAAAGTGCTGGGGGTTTCACTTCCACGGAATGGCGAGTGGCGCATGGGTCTACTGGTACCCTCAGTGTTCGTCCCGTTTGGAATTGGTGCATTTTTGGCATGAGGTGTTCTGAAGGTGTTAGGGTCCACATATGTTGCCCATCTTCTCGTCCAGCCCCACCTGTGCAAAGTTCCAACATCGCAGCCCCAAAGGCGAAGCTGAAGCCTCACCTGAACTCAAGCTTGGGGACCAAGCAAGGTTGCAGACTCTGAAGTCCGAACGGCAGAAGTATAGAGGAATTGGTCCGGGGCCTTGGTGGTACGTCCCTGCACCTCTCTACAACGATGGACCCAAAAGCACAGAAACAGAAAGTATGGGAACCTGTCCACCTTTGCAGGAGGACTACATTCCAAAAGTTTCGCTTTGGCTTTCTTGATTTTTCTACGTCAGTTACTTGCATAAAGCTCTCGTTGGAAATCTCGCTGCGTAGGCTGGCTCACATCATAAGAGCTCTTCCAGCCGCGATGACAGCTGACTGAATCGGGGCGTGTGGGTGCGTAGCCTTGTTTCGTTAGTCTTTGGTCAGCGTTTGTAAAGCCTTCGCGCAGCTGCCATCAGAAGTAGACCGTGAGAAGGGGTTGTTTCATCTAGGATGAGGGGGACGAATCTACAGTGTTTCACACCAGATCAAGCAGACGGCCCCGTGAATCGCATGAGGCCATTTCCGGATAGATCTTGCGTCGGAGAAATTGCGCCCAACACACATTTAAGTGGTTCGCCATGTGGCGTTGCCAGCGTTCATGGCCCCGGAGGCCCGAAATGGTTGGAGCAGATCTACATGTAGAGTCTTTCCCGCACGGCTGGAATGATCAACTCTTGAGCCTCCCTTAACCCTAATCCCGAATCCCACCTGGACGCCCTGCAGATTAAAGGCCTGCAGCCAGCCTCATGTCCTTGGCTTCAGAACTTCGCAATGCGTGACTCCTCGAAATTTTAACTTGACTTGTTTATGGCTTATGGGTTATGTCTGCAGCCACCTAGCCTGGTTTTGGGACATAGGGCTGGTACGGTGTCTTCAACCACGTGTGTGTTTGGGATGAAGGTTGAAGTCCAGGTTTTTCAGGGTTGCCAGCCTGCGAGCTTCAGTGAGTCCGATAGCTTTGGGCCTCTGAAGCTCTTCCTGTGGATTCTACCTGAGTGTCAGTCAAAAGATATCTCAAGAGACCTTGATCCCGATCAGACGGCAATCTATCTTACGGCTATGGTTTCCCGGAAAGGTCCATGAAGCAACTGCAATATGGGTAGTTCTCTAAAGTAGCGTCCCTTTCGGGGTCCTTTTTGTAAGGGTGCCGTACTGTATTGGGGACCTAAAAAGGGACCCTAATTTAGAAAACTACCCATATCGGGTTCAGGAGCATTGGGACTTCGGGGCTTCAAGCCGGGAGATCCCTGACTTGCACAAATCGGTGGGGGGGGTAGCTGCAGCTCCTCGACCTTTGGCGGGGGGTGGACGTGTTGGCAGCAGGAAGCTTCATGGGTTTAGGGTTTAGGGAAGTCTAGGGTTTAGGGAGTTTAGGGGTTTAGGGTTTAGGGCATGCAGTAAACTTAAGCTCCTCAGAAAGCCTGGAGCCCGAAGACAGAGGAAAGGACCCGAAATCCTAAGCCCAGAGTCTCCACCCTAACCCCCCCGAGCCCTAAGCCCAAAAAGACCAGCACGAATCGTGTAACTCTTGGCTCGAGACCTCACTCGGGATTGGGCGCCGGCCCTTTTTCCGGAGGCACTTCTGGTCCAGGGAAAGTTTAGGTTTAAGCATCTCTGGGGCTTACGGATGTAGGGAAGTTTTGCGTTTAGGGCTTCGGGCTTAGAGAGGGTTTTTGGATTTGAGAGCTATTGTTTCAGATTTGAGGCTTAGGGCTCAGGACCTCAGGCTTGATTTTGAAGCCTGGCAAGCTTGAAGCTTCCAGCCAGTGTGCGCGGATCCCTGCAGAAGCAACACCAAAGCCTGACGCAGTCGTCACCTGGGCTCTTCTTATCTATAGATCCCTCTTATGACAACTTAAATTAAAGGTTCCTTAGCAAGAACGCAGTCACACCCCACGCTCGAATCCACAAGACCCGCCTGGAAGCTTGAAACCACGGCCAAATCTCATTTTCAGAGGATAGCTGTTGCAGCGTGTAGGGTTTGAGATTGCAGTGCTCATGGAGTTTTAATGTAGTTTAGGGTTATGTGCGAGTTCGTCGAGCTTTGAACGTTCAGACTCTTGGTGCTTGCATGGTTTGTATTTGCTTGCATCTGCTTCCTTGACGGGACATCTTGCATCTTGGGGCCTTGAATGTGGTTCTTTCACATCAGGAGCCCGCAAGCAAACCCGTTCTCCAATTACAGGCCGTAGCCCATGCGAAAGTGCAAGACTGCATGCACCAAGCAGACGATCTCCCATCCAACATTGAAGCACTGACTATTGCAACTTTCCAACACAGGTGTTTTGCAATCGAACACTTTTCTCAATCAATCCTCTACGAGACCCCGGAGCTATTCACTTCTCCATGGTCCATTGTATAAAACACAGGCGGTACGAAACGAATCTGCTGCCGGCCTTACTCACCCTGGATTGTAAGCCGTACGATGTAGGCAGCTAACGGTTTCAGTTAATTGCTGCTGAGCTGCGCTCATGTTGCGAGCATGGCCTTGCGGAGTTCTCGAAGTAGTGCGCGCGCAGTAATTTCATCGGTTCCAGCGCTCTGCAATTCCACACAGCGTACTTACACAGTCCCCCGAAGCAGCGGACGACCTTCGGGTTTTTCACGACCGATCACAACGACGACACTTTCTGCGGGTCTTCATCATACATGTGCAATCAAGACAGATGGACAGCTGGTTTGTTTCGGAGGAAACTCCAGTGGCCAGTGCACCGTCCCATCCGGTTTGGGCCCTGTGTTGGCCGTCTCGGCCGGCTGTTCTCACACGTGTGCAGTGCGAGCAGATGGGAGACTTGTTTGCTTCGGAAGGAACTCAGAAGGCCAGTGCAACGTGCCCGAGAGCATGGGGCCTGTCGCAGCAGTGTCTGCGGGTGGCTATCACACCTGCGTTGTGGGGACGAACGGTCAGCTGGTCTGTTTCGGCGAGAATCATGATGGAGAGTGCGAAGTGCCAACAGACTTAGGCCCAGTACATGCGATGTCAGCGGGGATGTGCCGGACTTGTGCCACGGGAGCAGATGGTCGTCTGTTCTGCTTTGGTGAAACCCCTCGTGGCCAGTGTCACGTTCCAAGTGATTTGGGTCCGATACGAGATGTCTCCATGGGTGCCGGTCATACGTGCGCTGTGACTGCAGGTGGAAGGCTGGTCTGCTTTGGTTTGAACAATTATGGCCAGTGCGCTACCCCAACAGACTTGGGTATGACCGCGGCAACCTCTGTCGGCAAGTACCACTCCTGCGTTCTCAGTGCTGACGGAAGACTGGTTTGCTTCGGAGATAACTTCGAGGGCCAGTGCAACGTTCCCTCAGACCTTTATTATTCGTTTCTTGCCATGTCTACAGGTCTTCGCCACACCTGTGCTGTCGCTATGGATGGTCAGCTCGTTTGCTTCGGAGAGAATTACCAGGGCCAGTGTAACGTGCCATCGGACTTGGGCCCAGTCCTGACAATGTAGGTTTTCAAGATGTGAACATGGATGAAAGTCTTCAAGATCAAACATGCCTTCCAAAGCATCCGAAGGCAAAGTGTGCATGGTCTCATCTAGTTTTCGGCTGGTGTTCGGCCCCACAGGTCTTCGCTAATCTTCACTCCTTTCGAAGAGAGGCCCTCAACACTGAACATCCAGGCCTCAGGCCGGAGGAGCATGCAGAAAAGCCTTCGCACGTGTCAGATCTCCGGAATGTAGGAGTTGCCTGTGTCGGGTTGTTTCGGTGCAGGGTAGCCCGAAGCCCATGCTTGCAAAGGGCATGGTCAGAACGGAGCCTGTGCCCAAGCATCCACTCCCTGATACTCGGTTTGATGCGGCCTCTATTCCGGATGTTCATCACCAGCCTGTGGCAAAAACTGGGCTCGCCCACTATGCCAACCCAGACCTGGAACGTTATCCATGAGTGCTTTCCATGGCATGGTAAGAAGTAGTGGCTTTACACAGATCTTCGAGGATGAGGGCTTGGCTTCTTCTCGTTTTGCTGTCAACGCAGCGTGGGCTCAAGACTCGTGCGTGTGTTGGCGCAGCAGCTGGAATGAAGCCTTGCCTGCTCCGCAGCGTCCTGCTGATAGGTCTTGCCGCTCAGGCTGGGGCAGGCTCTCGGAGCCTGGAACACTTGCAAAAGGCAGAGGAGCTGTCTGCAGCAGGGCAGCAGCATGCTGCAGTTGCAAGCGTCCGGGAGGCCCTTCGGCTGGAGCCTTCGAGTGGGGAAGCACATCACTTGTTGGGGCAACTCTTGGCCTCTCTCGGGGACCTGGCAGCTGCCAGGCAGAGTTTTGCAGAGGTCGCACGCTTGAACCCCACTTCGGCAGGCGCCTGGGCCAATCTCGGCTACATCCAGTCTCTCGCCGGCAGCAGGCCGTCAGACGTCGAGAAGAGCTACCAGACCGCCCTGCGGCTGGAGCCCGAGCATCTGAAATCCATCAAAGGCCTCGCTGAGCTAAAACAGGCGCAGTCGGATTACGCTGGCGCCGAGAAGCTGCTCTTAGAGGCCCTAAGAAAGGCCAAAGCGGCCAAAGCTCCAGCTCCCTCTCTCTATCTGAGCTTGGCTTACAAGGCAGCCCTTAAGCTCGATGCTTCCATTGGCCTCGCCCATCTCGGCTTAGGGCGGTTGCAACACAAGCATGGCAAGTTGCGGGCAAGCGAGAAGAGCTACCGCAAGGCCATCGAATTCGTACCGGAGGAGTGCGAGCGCTTCGACATTTACAAGTGGCTTGGTATTTTCCTGGCAGCTCGGGGGGCCAACGAAGAAGCCATGAAGGTCTTGATGCGTGCCGTGCAGCTGCGGCGGGAGGCGTAGACCGCTCTTGGAAATGATGTTCCAGTTTAGTGAGATGCTTTCATTTTCTAATGACATGAATGATATTAGTGTGTACTGAACAACGCACGTTGCACGAACAGTTGAGAGGCAGGCCGGCTCACAAGCTCGCTCATCATGAACTTGCTAGATGAGGCGCTGTATCTCGAGACTCGTCGAAAAGAGGCGGCATCTTTCGCCGACGCTTGCCGAGTGCCGGCCCTGAGGAAGCTGGATCACTGTGGGGTTTTCCATCGATTTCCTTTTTTCAATGGTTGAGAACTCTAGCTACTGTAGCACCCTTAGTGTTAGAGCTCTTTTGATGTGTGATAGCTTTGCTAAGCCAGCTAGAGTCCAAATTTGCTCTATTCCCTGAGCTCCGATGCAGGAGGCTGCCCTTGGCCTTGGCAGCGGTTCGATCACTGGAGTCGGACGAAGCCTGGCTTGTGCCTGGGCCCAGGTCCTGTAGCGGCTTTTGGGGCTTCCCCCCTTTTGCGCCCTTGCAAGAGGAGTGTACCTTATAGATTCCGGAGGGTGGTGTTGAATGGAAGAAGCGGTTGAGGTGCCATTTCTCCTCGAGTCCGTGGCGGTGTTCGGGCTGTCGCAGAACCGGCTCGGCACCGCCTCATCCTTTGGCTCGGTTTGGTTCATTGGATTTCGCCGGGTTATGGAAGCAGCCCACGCGCACTCGTCTCGACTGGCCAGTGAGCGCCCAGTTACCTTCGTCATGGGAAGTGGCCTGGGAGAGCAATGCTTCTTCGCGGCTGCTTTGGGGATGTCCTGCGTCGGCTACGATGTGCTTTGCAACTCCACGGTGAGTCAGGCCCGTCGCATCGTATCCGAGCACCAGTTGGAGCAGCTCTCGATCAAACATCGTTGTGGCAGTGCCGTGGAGAGCGAGGGCTTGGAAGAAGCCGCGGCTGTCTTTCTCAACGATCCTTGGATGCCGCACAACGTAACATGTCAACTCCTTTGATTGGAGTACTCAAACCCCGCATGCGAAACTACAAGGCTAACACCCTGACTTCACTTCACTTCCTTGCGAAACGGTCCAAAGGTCCTGTGCAACTAAAGGCGAGTCGAGAAGCGGGGAGAACCCACGGCTCTGGAGAAGCGGGCGCTTGCAGGCCCAAGACATGCAGGTGAAACGAACCCAACGGAGCAGGGAGAGAGGGTCAGGCGAACACCCTGACCCTAAATCCTAAACGCAGCGAGGCAAATTCCAACACAAACTTGGCGGCAGCAGGCTTAGAGCACTGCCGACGAAAGTGAGCGAAGTCCTACACCCTAAATCGTCAAGAAAGAAATTACTTGCTGTGAAACTTGATCTCCGAACTATGAGCTTCAGACGGGCAGCCCAGAGTTTAGACAGAGTTGTTTCACAAGTCTGTTGGAAGCACGATTTTGTTTTACCAGCTTGCAGCATGTCAATCCATGTCGAACCAGTTTGTTTAACAAGAGCGTTGAGAAGAACAGTTGTTTCGTTTTGCTTGCATTCATGTAAGTAAAGACATCCGAAATTTCTCAAGCTGGGTAGCCAAATGACCCCCTAATTGCAAACTGAAACAGCAAACTTGGAGAGCACACTCCACCGTGTCAGTCCCCACCACTCTTTGGCAGACCTAAACCTTGAGTACAGCCTAAACCCAGAGAATTGGAACTGAAGGGGAATGAACAACGAAGGATTACTCTTTTGAGCAGCCGTTGCATGAGCAGCTGGAGCTTCATCTTGCTCGCAACCTTCGACCAGGAGCGATTGTCGCCTCATTCTCACCCTGGAATCACGAAACTGGATTCGCTGTCGTTGCAACTGTAGAAGTCGAGACATCTTGGGGCGATGTGCCGGTGGAGATCCGCTTGAAGAAAGAAATGCCTAGGGGCCGTGGCCTTTCCCACAAAGTCTCAGGGCTCGGCTCCGCGCTGTTTGCTGTAACTCGAAGATCACCCTCTCGCTACTGTAGGAACCTGAGTGTATGCTCATCACCTTCAAAGGAACCCAGGCAAGGTTTTTGCGCTACGTGGGCCACTGCTTGTTATGGGGCTGAGCGAAGCAAGGAGTTGGAATCCGAGCGCGATGCAAGTAGCTGGGTATGCCTTATGCTTCTGGCTTAACAGTACCAGGCAAGGCAGCCAAACTGAAAGGCAGAACGGGATTCTGAGACAGTTTGAAAGGCACGCGTTAGTAGGAGCTTCAACGGTTGCTTGGGCTGCTCCATCGTGGGTTTCTGCGGCAATTCTCAGCAAGGTTCAGAGTCTTACAGAAACTCGAAAGCCCTGAAACCCCCGAAACCCTCAACCCTTCACTTCCAGCTTGCTGCAGGATGCGGCCATTCGTTCAGCAGTTGCAGGTTAAACCCTACTGGAAAGTCTGGTCAAAACCCTGGTCTGAGAAATCAGGCCTCTATATTGAGCTGCCTACGCCCATCTCCGAGACCTCACCCCACCACACCCGAAACTCCATTCCTGTGGTGAATGGTTAGGACATCATGACATCAGGCAGGAGACTCTCTGAAGTTGTCCTGTAGAGCTGTGATTTACAACCCCTAATTCTCCTCAACATTGGGATCCCGACCGTGATCCTCATCGAGGGAGTATGATTCAGGGCAACCATAGTCTGTTATCGTGTGCTCTAGATAACTAGCTGTCCCTCCATTGCCTGGGGTCCTAAAGTCTCGATCACCCCTACTGTCTAAGGCAAGCCCTATCCTAAAGCCTTTGGGAGCCCGACAACCCTCAACGTCTCAGCACCAAATGACGTCCACATGAACCCTCACTGCCCCTACACAGGGATCACTGTCTGAGGGGCGCCCAACCGACAGAGGCACTCGTCTTCAACCCTAACACCCTGGAACATCGACTCTGGAATCTCGAAGCATCACAAGACCCTTAACTTAAGCCCTCTAAAACGCAAAGGTCCCCTTTCCGGCCGTTCTTCTCTAACTAAGCCTCTGGGTCTGGCCAGCCTTTCCTTCTCTGATCTTTTGAGGACCATGGGATCCAAGTGCTGTTCCGGCGAGGAGGCCAGAAGCCTTGTGACTCCCTGTCGAACCCCATAGAACACCATAGAACACATAGACTTTAGGAGGGTGTAGAGTTTGGGTTTAGGGGTTGGTATAGGCCCATATAAGACCCTTCCTTCTAAACCACAATGTGACCTTTCCTTCGGGAGATCGTGGGCGGGGTGGGAGGGAAATCGAAGAAATGCATTTATGGCAGCCTTCGCCGCTGCGTACCGTGTGCTGTCTTTCGTATGAAGCCATGGAAGGAAACTAATCTAATCGCTGAGGCCCCTATCCTGTCGGCATGTCAGCCTACACGTGCAGAAGAACAAAGACAACGTAATCGTTTATGATGGTAGCATCAAGTATTTTGTATGAGAACGTTCGCGATCATGGCAAAGAGTTAGAATATCCCTGGAAGACGATCGTGCTGGTCCATACCGGGCTCCATGACCTTATCATGCAACAGTACAGCGCAAAACTTGGATCCTCAGTAGGGATAGAACTACTCCGTGCTAGCTCCGAGCCCACTCTCCTTGCTTCCAGGCCACTGATTCCGGCCAAGATGGCCGCAACGAGCGCGTGCATGCTGCGCCGGGGCGCCCGGTGCAGATTCCAGGGAGTCAGACCCTATATCGGCCAGAAATCGCAGGCTCCCTCTGCAAGGCCTC